TTCCCAATAGTTTAAAAGTATCATTTTTGTTATTTGCATTCTAGTTTTAGTTAACTTCAAAACCAACCAAACATTCGATTGCACTTAGATTAAGTTAGTACTTGCATTCTCGGTGCTTTTAAATCCCTCAGAACTGGTTCGACAACTTACTTCACTATACAACATTTGACTAGGAGCCTTGAAAACTCCTAACATCAATAGTTCTAAGATTCGCTACTAGGCCGCGGCCTTCTCTTGCCCGCGAACACAGCCCGCGGTGATCACTTTCTCGCCGCGGTCTCCACATCCCGCGAAACAACACTGCCATGTTTTCGACACTTGATCGCGGCCATCTCTTGCCCGCGGTAGAAGCCCGCGGTAGGCCTCTTTCGGCCGCGACCCTCTCTTCCCGCGCCGTAGCCCGCGAAACATCCCTGCCTTGTTTTCGACACTTGATCGCGGCCTGCGTGAGCCCGCGACACTTGCCCGCGGTGAAGTCTCAATTCGCAGGCACCTCGAGGTCGCGGTACTTGCCCGGTTTTGCACCATTTCTTGCTCTTTTCAACGTTTTGGAACCCATTTAGCCTCTAAGTTTGATTAGCACTTCTCCATACCTGCCAACACACAAATACAAATGCAATGCAACCTAAACATACTCTAAATGCACCTAAATGATCAATGTAAACATGAAATTGATGATTAAAAGTATGTAAATATGCAAGATATCATTGAGCTGGCTCAAAAGAGCTAATTTTACTTGGGTCAGGTAGTGATGATCCAGCAGAATCGGGACCTATTTTCCAGAGTTGTAGTAATATGAGATCAGGGTTAGAGGATGAAGTTTCTGATAAGGTTGCTGTAATTGAATTGTATCTTCCGTCTGTATTCAGAGCTGTGGTTTAGATGAATCCAGCTGGTTCTGTTGATCCGGATTCTGTTGCGTTCTTTTCTCCAGATGAGGTAACTTCCAAGCTTACTGCATTAGATAAAGCTAATCTTCGAAGAACGTTGTTTAAGTACTCATCTTTTTGCTTTGTCTCTTCCCTTCCTTATAGGGAGGCAGCTACTTGCATGCGAGAGGCTTCTCGACTCATCATGTTTACAAACACATCACGGTAACAAAGACTGCAACTGATATTACAAATTTGATTGATTAGGAACTTGCATTAATTAGATTTTCTTGCAGGAACATGATTCTACAGCCTTGCAATACTTCCTCGGATTTGGTACCGGATCAGCTGTGTACTCTCTCTTCTGGTAAAAAGATTTGACAAGGACTTTGGTCTGTCTCTGGATAACATGAACCATTACTTTCTTTTGGATCCATGGAAGTGAATTTACACCTTTCTTTTCCTCTAATGCAGCTATGGATATGCAGTTTTGAATCCCTATTTAGCAAACCGTGCAGGTAATAAGCCAGTTTATGTGATTCTTCTGCAATCTTTAACACTCGTGTTGTTTTCCTGTGGACTAAAATTTTCACATCTCTCATGATGCAGTAAATGTGGAAAGCTATTAGCGATGAATAAAAAGTCTGCTCTAATCCTATCTCCTCTACACCGCACTTACCAAGATTTGCCTCTTGCAGCCAACCTCGATGTTTGTGAAGCTTACCATGGTGGTTGCTCTCCATATGATTCCTAATAACCCAGTCATTAAGGAGGATCAGTTAGAAGGTTAAAGAACTTACTTCTCAGAACATTTTGTATGATTCTATAATATATGCTTTACTCTTTGACCCCTCTTGTTTGTGTCCCATGTTGAGGTTAAATTTACATTGGGGCAGTTACTTTCTTTGTTTCTCTTCTTGGGTAAGACATATATGGGACATAGGATCAAGTGACAGGTGATGATGATACATGTGAATGCTGTGTATTTCTAGACAGTTTGATCTGTGTCACGAGATGTCTGACCAAAGACTTATTTTACTCAGTTCACACTCCTATGTTAGTATGTTGTAGTAAACATCAAAGCGAGAAGTTTTACACTGGCTACTTTGATTTTTATATTATGTAAGAACATTGAATACTTTCAAATATCTACTCAATACTTGTCTTTTTTCCCTTGCTCTTAATTTGTTTGATCTTGTGTTTTGTGTGTTAATAGGGAATGCTCAAAGCTTGTAGAATTACATCACTCGAGATGCGAGGAAAACAAGTTATGTGCTGTGTACAAGAAGTACTCAAAGATCGAGAACGGAGGCGTTGCTTTGGTTACACCAGCCAAGTCTCTCTTGAGTTCTGCTGCTGATCCGAAGGAAGCCTCTTTGTGTTTAACTTATAGATTCCAGTAGATGTTTTATAAAGTATTATAAATTAATTTATCAATTCTTATGAATCAATTTATACACTCTTGTAAATCAAAATATAATCGCATATAAATTAGTTTATATGATTTCATAAATCAGTTCATGAACCTTTATAAACCTTTATAAATGATATATAAGCTTTTCTAAATAATATATTTACTCTTGCAAATGTTTTAAAACCCTTATAGATTATTTATAAGTTCTTACTATTAAACATATATCCATGATGCTATTAAAAAATGATTTTAACCAATTGAATGGTTTTGTATGCCCTTATATTTTTTTTATAAACTCTTACAACTCTTAAATTGATTATATAAACTCTTACAAAATGATTTATAAACTCTTATATAAATTGATTTATAAACCCTTATATTTTTTTTGTAAATCTTATAAATAAAGGAGACTTATGTGTAATGTTTTAATATGATTTGCAGTCCATACAAATGATTTTATTATAATGAACTGATGATAATGAACTGCGGATGCACTGGTCTCAGATAAGGATTTAGCCGTTAGAGCAGCCGCAGCCTCCATTTATTCGACCTGCAACTTTCTTGGATCAGAGGAGAACATAACATGTACCTGAACTCCTTTAATCTTCTGACCAATGTTTTCTCCGTCACTTTTGCAGAGTTTTTCAAATGTTTGGTCTCAAAAGAATGGCTTGGGTTCAAGGGTGTGAAGTACAATTTGGGTTAACAAAAGAGTGGTAAAATGAAATAAGATAACCCAAATGTGTATGAGATCCATGATCAAGTATGCAAATGCCCATATACAAGAGAGATTAAGTTCATTAAGCCAAAATTTAGATTGGAGCTGGTTTCAAGAATAATGTCAATTTCAAGCAAGCAAACATGTTTCAAGAAGAGTTTTCAAGGCTCGAAGCGTGCAAGGCTTTCAAGAGATGCTCAAGCTACTTGATATGTCTAACTAGGGTGTCACTTTGAGCTCTTGACAAGTATTTTTTACAAGGTGTTTTAAAATCATTGCTCCCAATGCAAGTGAATGCAAGCTATATGCTCTAGACTCTCCTAGAAGTGCAAGTGATGCTACCTACATGATTTTCTTTTTGATTTTTCAAAATTTTCCAATTTTTTGGTTTTTTTCTATGCATATGTGTATGTAAAATGCAATACATGAGACTCAAAATCATCAAAGAAAACATGATTAAATACTTGGTACCTCCCCCAAACTTAATTCACACAATCGTTGTGTTGTTAAGTTGAAAAAGATACCCAAAAGAGAGCTAAAATGCAAAAATAAAAACTGGTATATACAATGGAAAGAAGTGGAGTACCTTCCTAGTTATCAGGGTTGAAGGCAGTGTCTCCAGACCCGCCTTCGTCAGGGTAAGTGATGTAGTAGCCTGCTGGTGGAGCGCTATGGCCGTATGGTGCATCGTAGTAGCCGTATGCTGCATTGTAGTGGTTGTACGGTGCACTGTAGTGGTCCATTGGTGTGCTGCTCACTTTGTCACTAGAATCGTCATCAGAGGAGGTGAAGGATGAGGATTTGTTTCTTGAGGCAGATGGAGGAGGAACATAGTTGCGTCGAGCATGTTCTAGCTGGCTAGAAGTGCGCGGTGGACGGTCGTGCTGAGGCTGAGGAACTGATGTGTTTTTGATCACAAAATCACTCGAACTGCATCCTGCTACTCCTCTATTAACCAGGACATCAGCCACCTTCTTCATAAACTTAGCTGAAACCTTTGCTTGGCTTCTCATAGGTTTCTTCAGTTCCTAGTACTTGGTTTTTAGCTTGAAGAAAACACGGTCATGCGCCTTGTTCCATCGCTGGAGTTTGTCAATATGCTCATGCACGTTACAAAGAGCGCCAGGGGGTAAGACTCCAGTATGTGGCTCAAAGTAGTAGCGCGATGATAGGGGTTTTTAAACCTTAGAGAAAATCAATGTAGTAAGGTAAGTAGAGTGTCAATCCAATCCTGAGAGTTATTGAACAAAGAGAATGCAAGACATTGCTTAATCTAAATGCAATCAATAAGTGAGATGATATTGAACTAGAATACTACTAAAATGCAATAAAGGGATGATCTTTCTTTCTCAAAATGAAGCAAGAGGATTCATGGGACTAGAAATTTGATCTTGGGTGATGTAGATCCAATCTAAAGATGGCAAGCTAGAAATCATACACTTTCCTTATGCATAGACTCAATCCTAAACAAGCTCTATCTCTAGATGAATGTTCTTTTACTATAGCAACTCAAGCATCTAATCTCTTAGGTTGAATGTTACTAAGAAAACATGGAGAACAAGTCTAATAGCAATCTTAACTTCTTTAGCAACTAATCTCTTAGGTAAAGTAAGTTAAAAGCATTGAAGAGTTGGTTCAGGCATTTCATCATAAACCTTGTGGGCAGGAAATGCCTAGAGATCTATTTTAGTATGATCAAGACTAAAATGGCATTGAGAACCCTCAACAAGCAAGGAAACAAGTAAATCTAACACTAAACATCCTAGATCTTATCTAATCATGAATCATCCTAGTCCATGAATCCAAAAGGAGTCTACTCACTAATCTTCATGATTAACCTTAAACCCATGGTTGATTTAAGAGAAATCATGTTGAGAAGCAAGTTTAATCAAACAATCACAAAGAAATAAGTAGAAAAGAAACTAAAGATTCAATCTTTCTTTAAGTTTTCAATGTGTTCTTCAAGAGAAAAGAAGATAATCCCATCATTAGGGTCTAAAATGTATTTATAAGCTTCTTAAAACCCCTAATGGACTCAGTCAACAAGCTGAACAGGCCCAACAAAAACATAAAATTCGTCAGATGAATAGTGCTGGAGCGGGTGCCTTAGGTCGCTCTGCTACCCCGCTCCAGAACACGCTCAATGTGGAGCGGGGGGTCCTGGGTCGCTCTGCTACCCCGCTCCAGAACGCACTCAGGTCCTGGATCGCTGCACCTAGTAGATTGATCATAACTCCTCCAATACAAATCCAAATGACTTGAAACCACTTTCATTAGAAAGCTAACACAATTTCCCATGTACTCCCAAAATATGAGCTTCAAAAGATATCTTTAAGGTCTCCATCCATGTTCATCTTTCATCCTTTTGCATCACAAATATCTCTAAACACCTCCAAAAGCTCAATAGGACACTCCAACACCTGAGAAAGACTTATGAATNCTCCATCCATGTTCATCTTTCATCCTTTTGCATCACAAATATCTCTAAACACCTCCAAAAGCTCAATAGGACACTCCAACACCTGAGAAAGACTTATGAATGCAATATGGATCCTAAAGATGTCTAAACCTAAATCTATATGATGATTTATGTACAAAATGAAATGCTAAAACTATATAAATATGCATCATATCAACTCCCCCAAACTACTCCCTTACTTGTCCTCAAGTAATTAATTAAGATCAGAGAGAGAGAGAGAGAGAATGAAAATGGGAGCTCAAAACCATAGGTTACACTTCTTAAACTCAAAACCACATCCTAGACAAACATAACCTATAGCATAAGCAACCTCAATCATTACACTCTATCTTCACAAGGCCTAGCAAGGCTCTTTCTTTTAGACAAGTTGTGGATCACCAATCAACAAATCTCTTCAACCAACCCTCACATTCAATTAAGCATAAGCAATAAGGTGAAATCCTGCAAATGGAAACTTGATCTCAATCATTTGGCTTGGTAAGTGAAATGGCTAAATGAGAATAGAGGAGGGGTTTCAATACATTTCTTTTTAGTGGCTTACACTCAAGAATATGAGCTTGATCATTATGCAAAATCTATCAAACAAAAGGAGAAACTTATGCATACATTGCTTGTTCTTATCAATCTACCCTTTTCCTAGACAACTTCAAACTCTACCATTTTCCTTGGTGTAAATTTCAAACCCATTCGTTCCCAAAAACATTAAGATCACTCTCTTATTTCACTGACCCAATGAACTCATTCTCTTTTCTTTTCTTTTCTTTTAAACTAACTAGGGACTTTTTCTTTCACTTTTTACTTAAGGTCTACTCTTATTTTTCTTATGTCTTCCCCAAAGTCTTTTCTAGACACTTTTCTTTCTTTCTTTTCTTAGCCTAAGGGGTTTCTTATTTGAAGTTTCTAGAGCTTTTGTTTCTTTTTCTTTTGATCCCTAGTGTTTTCTTTTGTTTTTCTTTCTTTTAGTTCATTCTTTTCACTCATCTAACACCCCAAGACCCAAAATAAACTCTTTTGCATCACAATACCAAATTTCCCGTCCTAATTGCTAGCTCTCAAGAGGTCCTATAACTAGCCTGAGATAAGAACAACCAATGTCACCCCTAATACTCTCAAGTTTTTGCACATGACAAGCTATCAAAAGAG